GAGAGAGAGAGAGAGAGAGAGAGAGAGAGAGAGAGAGAGAGAAGGTGCCAGGGTCCTATAAACAACCAGCTCTCGTGGGAACTAATAGAACGAGAACTCACACATTAATCCCCCCACCTAGGGAGAGAATTAATCCATTCATGAGGGACCCTCCCCGTGTCTCAAACTGTCACACTGGGGATCAGATTTCCACATGAGTTCTGGTGGGACAACACATCCAAACTCTATTAGAGGGTGTGTGAGAACGTGCCACCAGCAGACGGCCTGGCTCCTGGTGACAGCGAAGGGCCAGGATGCAAGGCTGACAACGAAAGTTTGGAGACCCGACTGGGGAGTGGGCTTCGGGTCCTGTATCAGTCCAGACTCTTTCCATTGCAGGGACAGTTACCCAACACAAACTGGCTTGAGCCAAAAAGGGATATTTGTCGATACACAAAACAACAATGACAACCAAAAAAACCAAAAAAAAAAAACCAAAAATGGGGGTGGTAGGATGGCTTCAGGCATGGCTGAATCTAGGTGCTGAAAAGATGTTGACAGGGACAGTCACATATGGCCATCACCCTCAAGAAGAGCTTCTTAGTGGTGGCCGTAGTGACCACCACTACCTCTAGTTTATATCCTACCAGATCTGCAGTCCCAGCAGAAGGAGAGAGCCTTGTTCCTGACAACTCCAGCACTTGTCTGTGGTCCAGCTCTCGTGACGCAGGAAGCCCCCAGCCCTTGCTGCTCCAATCACTGTGCCCAGAAGTGATACTCTCCTAGCCTAGGCCTGAGTCCCATATCCACCCCAGGACCCCACAGAGGGCAGCCACCCAGAACCACGTGAACCGAGAGTAGGTGAAAAGGGTGGGTCCCCAAATGGAAATCAGGGTGCCATGAACAGAAAAAGGGGAATAGGCACTGGAGATGACCCTTGATCGTGGAAACATGGTGGGCTGGCCTACCCTGGACCTGCCTGGCTGATGTGGGTGGCCAGCCAAGTCCCAGCATCTCAGGAGCTTCTAGAAAAACGACTACTAGAGATGCTGCATTAGGACCACGGGAGGAGCAGGGATGGACTGGGGAGACGAAGGACTAGGAAGGTTTTTTCTCTCACAGTCTTTCTGAAGATGTCAGCCATGCTGTAGGGCATGGGGAAAGCCTCCACTTAAAGCTTTGTGTTTTCTAAGCTGTTGCTGCATCTTTGGTGGGGGCCCAGGGAATCCAAGCCCAGAGGGAAGAGGCCCCAGGCAGCTCTCAGTCTGAGTGAGCAGAAAGCAGGAGCCTGTCCTCAGGGGGCTTCTCGCAGACAGTGCTGCACCCCACGCCCAGCCCACCCAGCTGAGGGTGTGGACCGCCTGGGAACCCTGCGCAGTGCGGAGTGGGCCAGGCCGCCGGCGGGCGTAACAGCAGGGCTCAGAGGAGCGGAGCTGCGGGCGAGGAGTGGCTGGCAGCACAAGGGAGACTGCCCAAGCCTTAGAGGGCCCACAGAGGGGCACCATCGACCCGGCTCGAGGGTAAACTGGAAGAGGGAGCTGACTACAAGCTGGGGGCTGAAAAGCCTCTCGGCTCCAGCAGAGAGCACTCCCAAGGCGAGAATGAAGGAAGACGGTTTGCAAAAATGGGGTCCTGAGGAAAAGCTAAGTCTGTCCAGTGGGAGGGTGAAAATAAGTAGTTGTCTCTAAGGTCCGTGCGAGCACGAGCACGTCCTTTCCACCCTCTCAACACTGTTACAACTGTGAGCTTGGGGGCATTGTTAAAACTGTAGCAATCACTATGGTACATTTGCTACAATTAATAAACCAAAACTAATAAATGTGCAGCCATTGTTACTAGCTAAGGTCCATTGTTTATTTATATTTCCTTAATGTTCTTTTTCTGTCCCAGGATCCCATGTAGGACACCGCATTGCATTTGGTTGTCATGCGTCCTCAGGCTCCTCTTGGCTGTGCCTGCTTTGCAGACTTTCCTTGTTTCTGATGACCTTGACAGTGAGGAGCACTGGTCAGGTTCGCTACAGCAGGCTCCTGTTGGCATTTTTCTGATGTCTTTCTCATGATTACACTGGAGTTATGGGTGTGGGGGAGGTCACAGAGTTAGAGTGCCATTCCCATCACCTCATACCCTCTCATTTCACAGATGGGAAACCTGAAACCCAAAGAGGGTGGTGACCGTCCCAGGCCACCCCGCTGCTTCTGGCAGGGGCAGGGCTTGAACTCAGGGTCCTGATTCAGTCACTGGTCTGCAAGCTCCAGGGGGCACTGTGACTCAGGAAGGTCAGCAGGGGTCCAAGGCAAAGGGTCCCACACCCGCCTGGAGCCCACAGGCGCTCCGCAGTACCCGGGGACAGGGCCTAAGGCTGGCATCTGAAGCTCCGGGGACGCGGCGTCGGAGCAGGGAGGCCTGGGCCTCACCCACATTTTCAGACCACCTGGGGGAAACGACCCGGGCCTTGTGATTCTTTGTTTTAAATTTCTAACTTATTGCAAATCAATACGTTGTAAAACAAAATTAAATTACTTGAAAAACGAAATTAAAAATGACACATAAATGAGAGCCCCAACCTTTCTCGTCAGCGCCAGGCAACACGAAGTGCGCGAGTGAGGCTGTGGCTTTGGCAGTGCTGGCTCTTGTCCCCGCACTTCACTCTCCCTGGCCTGCACAGGCAGTCTGCACACCGGCAGTGGCCACAGGCTGCCATCCGGGACTATTTCCTGGAAGAACCAAACTTTGATCACCAAGAAAAGGGGCCCCCAGCCACTGAGCGCGGGTCTTCTACAGAATCACATCAGAGTATGAACTGGATCGGAACGAAGCCTTCTGTGTGACTCACGGTCACCATCTGATGGACACTGTACAGATCTATGGATTATTCATGTCTGGAGCAATAAAAACTCACAAAGCTCCCCAGTGCCCTGAGCCCAGAATAGCTCAGCTGGGCTCTGCTGCTCTGTGACGCAAAGTGCCTGTCTAGTTCTGCGTTCTGCATCTCCGCATCAGAACGGCCCAGGGAGAGGCATCTGCCATCCTGAGTGCCCGGCTCACCGCTCCTGGCTTGCGTGTGTGAGCAGCCCCTCCCTGCAGAGCCTCCTGCCAGGGTGCTGTCCCCAGACCACCCAGGGCTCAGATGCTATGCAGGAGTGGAAGGCAGCCCCCTGGCTGGGGTCAGAGGAGCAGAGCTAGGCCTCAGTGTCCTCACACCCCAGGGGTCCCCCGTACTGGGTCACCTTAAGAGCCCCACAGGGCAGTGGTCATGAGCAACGGGGTCAGGTCCAGAACAAAGCTGGCCTTGGCTCAATGCTTAGCTCCAAGGGCGTGAGCATCTAAGTCCAGGTCCCCAGCCTGTAGCACGAGGATGCAGTCGCTGGTGTGAGGGTGTGATGCCACAAAGAGGACCAAAGCCTGGCGTGCACCAGCACCCGGGAGAACGGACACCTGTCTCAGCACAAAGCTGAGTGACGAGACCTCGAGACCCTTCTCTGTCCTTCCCCCAAGCCCCTCCCTGGAACGGGATCAGGTCCCCGTGGAGTCCTCTGCATCCACCCTGGCAACCAGTTGTCTGCCTTGAATGCCACAAATGATGGGGAACTCGCCCCACACAACTCACCCACTCCTCTGGGGCAGCTCCTGGGCCACCGGACGGGGTCATGCATGCTCAAAAGCTACGCTCCTGGCTTCATGGAGTCGCAACTTCCCCAAGCTACACACCCGCTCCCACATTACATTTCCTACTTACGGTTTCTCAGTTCCTGCCATTGCTGTCGCTCACTGCGGGACACACCCCTGCGTGAGACAGGCTCCCAGGATGGCACGCCGCCAGGTGA